TCCTGTGAAGTCAGCGACACGCGCCCGACCTGCACACTCGCCGGTGTGGAGCGGCTCTGCGGGTCGCCCTGTCCTCAGACCCCACCTCCCCGGCCGCCAGATACGAACCGCAGGGCCGTTCCGAGCCCTGCACGACCGCGGACCCCCGAACCCCCGAACCCGGGCGCGTCCCCTTCCCGCGGCGCTAGGGAAGGCAGGTGTCTCTGTGAGTGAAGTCCAAGCTGACCCGCCTCCCCCCAACGCCGCCGACGGACTCCAAGTCATCGACGGGTCGCCTCTAACATTTCAGCTCCCGGGCCAACGACGAACAGGAGCGGAGACAGACACGTCCTGCACAAACGTTTGGAGAGGCAGCGTGTCAGAAATAGCGACGCGCAGCCCTGCTGTGCTGGATGTGGGCTCAAAAGGAGTTCGTTGATCTTATGTTGCACGTCGTTGTTTTGTTCTGTTCTCCCCCCCTTCTCTCGGCTTCAGGATATTCAGGGGAGAAATGGCTTTCGGGATATTTGGAGAGAAGGCGGGAGTTACCGCTCGACACACAGACAGGGCGAAAGGATCTGGAGATTAAACCCCACTGGGTTGGCTTCGCGGAACTGCGGGAGGGAACCGTCCAGACCGTGGGGGAGAAGCGGAGAAGGCAGCTGCCCAGCACCAGAACCCGGAGCCGAGCCGGGTTCGAGCCCCTGTGTCATCAGCGGAGCTGTGGGGATGAGCGCCGAGCAGGGGACCCGGAGGAGAGGGGAGTCGGTGGGATTTAAGACAGTGGGGGGCGGCCCGTGAGTGGGACTAAGTGCCGGGTGACCTCTCCCGCGCCCTCGCGTCTTTATTCACCGCAGGCGCGCCTGTCACGGGTGTCGTCGCCCGCCGCGCAGCCTGTCACGGGTGTCGTCGCCCGTGTCGGGGAGCAGACGAGCAGTGGGCTACCGGCGTCGCTCTGCCCGGGCGCTCAGTGACGCGGAGCCCGGCGCCAAGCCGCTGCCAGTGAAGTCACTGTGGGTCCCAGGCGTGTGGAGAGCCCGTCCGCATGTCGGGCCTGAGGACAGCCAGGGACAGCCAGGGACAGCTCATCAGGAGTCTGGTGCCATCCTCTGGGAGGTCTGACACTCTGAGCCCGGAAACACACGGGGTTTACCTGCTAGTCCGTAAAACAATCGCTACGACAGGTCTCCCCCCAAGTCAAAACCACACAAGCGTGCTAACTTCCGCCAAGTCCGGAACAGTGCTTCCAGAAAGAGAGCCAAGCAAGTAAAGCTAGCTTTTATCTTTGTTGTCTCTGGTAAATAATCAATACCAACAACTCCGGGGACAGTGCTAGAAAATAGATTTTATTCAACGGTTTGCTTATTTTAGAAGCTGTCTCTTCCATTTCCAGTTTTTTTTTTTGAATACCTGGCGAAGCCGAGGCGCGTGGCTCGTGCCCTCGTGCCCCTAACTGACGCGTTCGGCGCTCGCGCTGTCCCCCCCGGCCTAAGGTTGCCGCGCGCTCTGACAGCCCGACAGGCCGGGAAGAATTTTAAAACATCCACGCGTGTTAATTATAAAGACTGCACTTAAATTGCCTCAGGCCTATAATTAAGTCAGCGTGCAATCTGAATTCTAGGATTCGTAAAGTGTGCTGTGAATGTTACAGATCGCCCGGAATGAATTTTAATATGACTAAAAATCAGTACGCGACTGAGGTAGTTGAGCCCACAGAATCTGAATTTTTTATTCATATTATTTTTAGGCGGAACGGTGTGCCAAGACAACATGCGTCAGGGCTGTGGGCTGCGGATAACATAGAGTGTGAAAAGTGAACATAGAGAGTGGAGTGTGAACGTGGAGTGCAAGGCGACGAGCTCGTGCACGCTTGTGCGGCCCCGTGCTCCTGGCAGAACAGGCTCGTGCAGTGCTCGCAGCACCGCCGAGAAAGAATCCACTTGGGGCACGAAGCCGACGAGAAGCGGGACACGTCTCCCTCGCTGGTGGGCCGCCAGCTCAGCGACACGACGGCCCGTGTCGCGACACAGCCGCTGCGCGAGACTGAGAACCATGTCGCGACACGATAAGGTCCCCAGGAGCTCCTGATCTCGAGGTCCTCGTTTTATACCGCACGCCCGTGGCTTTGTTTCAGCGGTGAAAAAGTGAAAGAACTTACACTCTCCTTACACTCTCCTTACACTCCCCTGTGTGTTCATGGAGCCCGACCTGCCGCCCCACACCACAAGCCCACCGAATCACAAGCCTTCTCAGAACCACAGAGCCCGGGAGGTGAATCAGTAATCATCAGGTACATGCCCCGCACCTAGGAATTAAAGGGAATGCGCTGTGGCCTACTGCAGGTCAGCTTTCATTTTCTATGTCAGTCCCTTGGTGAAGACGAAGTCAAGACGGGGCGAAACTACAATGGTCGTCTTCCTGTGTCGCAGGCGGCCCGGCGCCTCCCGGAATCAGGCCCCCCCCCCGTCTGCGAGGCTCAGTGCCGTGTTACTGTGCGGGAGGGGGGACGCGCTACCCCCCTCTGCCTGACCCGGGGGGCTGACTGCCGCTGGAGTCGCGAGCCGAGAACATCAATCACCGCGAGCCACGACCGGCGAACCCCCCCCACCCCCGCGACTCTCCGGAGCCGCTTCCAGAAACGCACAACTCCGAACCCGAACCCTTTTCACCTTCCCCGCCGGCCGAAACAGTGAACATGCAGTTTATGTGCACACGCGTGCGACCGAGCTGGACGGGTGTAATCGCTCTTGGGCATCGCGTCGCACATGAAATGTAACTTCATAGGAAGTACAAATAAGTTGTCATCTTCGCTTTTAGCGCCCGAAGCACCCGTGCGCGTGCTAGTGATTCGCTTTAGCGCCCAACTCCGGAATGAAAGACGGCACTATCCTGTCTGCAGGTCTGTCCCTCTCCGCCGCGGCTATGTGCTATCTGCTCTCCCAGGATATTGGCATCTTTTGGGAAACATTCTCAAAATTTGATAGAAACGCGTATTCCGTGGATATTGCAGTCGGGCCAGTTTCTGTATCTGGTCCTGTATGTCCATCTGCTCATCTGCTCCTACTATACTGAGTACCACGCTCCCCGGTCTCCTCTGTGTGTTGTTATTGTATTTTTGTCTTGTGTGTTCTTTTTATTTATTGTTGTTGTCATTCTGTAAAGCGCTTTGAGAAGCCACCTTTAAAGGCGCTATAAAAAAAAGGTTTTTAATATTTTTATTATTATCATTGTTGTCTTACTGCTCAGTCCAAAGCAGGCTCGCGGCCAAAGGGCATTTTAGGTGTGAGGGTTCAGCTCGGATCTTTATCATTTATGTTCTCGGAATCTTGCCGTTAAGTTCGTGACGTCGAACCTCACCTCGAAGAGCTGGGTTTGCGCTGGTTTCTGGGCGACCAGTGAAATACGACCCCAAGGGGTGTCCGTGTGGATACTGTGTGGGAGTGCTTTCAAAACCGAATACAGGAGGCCGAGGTCTGTACCCAAACAGTGGCGGAGGGGTGGAACAAGCTACCCGGACACGTTATTGAAGCCGCCAAGCTGACTAACTTTCCGGAAACGGCAGAATGAGATGATCAGATCAATTAACTACTAGCTACCGAGCAGACTGGGCGGTTTGTAACTTCTCTGACGCGAGCGTGTCGCCATGGTTAAACGCACCTTGAGCAAGGGGACAGAATGTAACTTTTCTTTTTGAAGAGGCGGTGCCAGCCCAGCAGCACGCGGGCGCCGGCTCCAGACATAAACACGGGGCAGCGCGATTCTCAGTCCCGGGCCCGTCGTCAAGCCGGTCTTCAGGCTTCACCTGGCTCGGAATCTCCGCTCGGAGCTCCGTGCGACAGTGCCGCAATCCGGATACAACACAAACAAGGGCTTTATCTCGTAGACGTTCGTCTGACTCGGAAACTGGTGTTCAGCAACATTCAGCTGAAAACTCCAGAGATACTACAGAGGGACCCCACCGCCAGATCCCCTCCCCCACAGCCTACACCACAACGCCAGCGCATTAACCCCAATCTGTACTGCAGCGTCTCCCCAGTCCATCTGCACTCCGTAGTCTTCACTGTTTTTAAAGGGCATGTCGCATTTCTGCTGACGCTTGGTTTGCATGTGCACTTAGGTCGTCTGCGGACACCTCCCTTGTTGTACAGCGAAGTGCGTCTGTTTGATCGCTCCTTTGTGTGTGTGTGTGTGTGCAGTTGCTGAAACGTCTGCGAGGCGACACTCCGTCATGCACGGGCGCTCCGAACACAGCCAGCTGGCGCGCGCAAGGAGCGGGGTCAGTCCCGCGTGACCGCGAGCGGCCCTATTGTTCTCCGTGTCACCCGCAGGCCAGCAGGGAATAAAGAAACACACACACACACACGTCTTTACTCGTCTCTTGTGCAACCCCTCTCAACCAGCCGAGCCCCGCTCGAGAGCGCAGAGCCCCGTTTCATCACGTGTCACAACTCAGTCCTGCCCGGCCGCGGCAGAGCTCAGTCTGGATCAGTCAGGTCAGCCGAGGAAACCCAGCCTGTCGCTTATTCTGAAACACTTCTGTACCACAATACCTCATGTATAGTCGGCGTGTGTGTATGTGTGTGTGTGGGGGGGTTAGAGTCAAGCTTTAAAACGTGGTTATTTCTTACACAAATCTATACAAAAATAGTACACAAAACACTGGTGCGCGTTTGTTGATCAGGCTTCTCATTCCCCTGAGCTCCTGCTGTTGTGGTTTTACCTGTGCCCGGCGCGCAGTGAGGTACGGGAGCTGTCCAAACCCTGTAACTGCTCCCGCCTGTCAGAGATTCACGACAGGACGACAGACACCGGGCTGCTCCTGCTGCACCGTGTGGAAGCAGCCCCGCCACAGCCCTGCGTGTTATTGCACTAAAACACACACACACACACAGCGGGGAGCAGCTCGTGCAGTCTTGCATTGTTACCGGGGAGAGACAGCAGAGCAAGGAGAGCGGCACAGGGGGGTGGGGTGGAAATGGGATGGGGGGGTAAAATAAATGCCCTGTTAAAGGGGTACTTACGAGTGCCATCAAAGCGCGTGGCAATCGTGTCCAGGAAGGTGTTCTGCGGGGCCAAGAGTCCCTTCATGACCGGCATCCTGGTCCGGGTGGACTGGGCTCTCCGGCCTCGCCGCCCCGGGGCACTGGACTCGGGCTCGGACCCGAAGCCGGGCAGGAAGCGGGATGTACCGGGCGCGCACCCCAGCCCCTGGAGGAGCGCGCCGATCCGAGACACGCGTTGCTCCACTTTCCGGGCCGGAGGGGGGACCGTATCCTTCAAGGGGAAACGGGCATGCCCGACCGGGACCCCGAACCGAGCCCCGGCTGGAGGCGGGGGCGGGCGGACGGACAGCCGGCCGAGTCAGCCGGCCGAGTCAGCGAGAAGCGAAGTTGCTCGCAAGTTCGCCGGGGCCAGACCCGGGAATCGGCGGAGACAGGCGCACGTGTAAGCAGGTGCACCGCGGGTCACGGGCGCTGCCCAGGGTCGCGCGCCGGCTGCTGCGGTCTGAGCGGCTGCGCTGCTGCTCCGCGCGAGGCTGTGCGGTGCTCTCGCCTCGCGCTCTGCTCTCTCGGAGCTCTCCCTCCACTCGCCCCTCCCTCGCCGACTCGCTGCTCTTCCTCGGCGACTCGTGTTGCCTGGTTTCTCCGAGTTGCTACCTCCAGCAGATGTCGCGTCACGTGGTCTCTCGGGGGGCTTCGCTCGAGGGCGGGTCCTCGGAGCGCGACCCCAGGTACGGTCGCTCGCACGCTCGCGCCTCCTCCCACTGCAGGCGGAGTACTTTTCCCGAAAGTGCGCGTCCTGCTGCGTTATGAAAGAGGCTGGGACCGCGGACCGGGTGGTACCCGAAGTGAATTTAAAAAGATGCGAATTAAGTCTCGCCCGGGCTCTACGTTGAACGCACGCGCGCGCTTCCAGCTTCTACAATTAACGCTCCACGTTAAAAGCCATTTTGGTTACAGTGTTCATAAATCACAACTCGACGCGCGCCTATTCTACAGCCTCTTCGGAAGAGACTGCATTCTGTGCACTTAACGGCGTGTTTTTTTTTAAACAACTCAAACATATTACTGCATGAAACGTCCTCCGGGCTTACGAGGTAATGCGAGCCTACCTACTGCTGACTTTATGTGCCTCGGTAATTTCATTTGAAATTTGCTGCGGTTTAAACTGGTTACGTCCTTACAGCAGGCAGGGAAACTCGACACCCTGGAGGATAATTGTCCGGGTAGCACCGCCGCGCTTGCCATGTGTGGCTTTATTATCGTGTTTCCAGGGAGTGTAAACTCAATCTGGCACGAAACGATGCCATAATCAAATCCGTCCCCAGCATCTGTACGTGTCAGCCTCTGCAGCTAACATGATAACTCCTACACCACCGAATCCAAACCAAGCGCGTTCGATTAAAGACGACAGGGAAGAGCTCTCTCCGGGAGCTAACCAGCGGAAGATTGAAACGCGTTCAATCAAGCCTCACGCGTCCTCCGGCCCTGCAGATCCACCGCTGACACCAGCCCAGCCTGCAGGAAGGCGGTGGAGACCTGGCGAGAAAGAGTTCTCGAAATGGCCAACGTGATAAGATCATACTTCCCCTTAGCCACATCGTAACCACCATACATGAACTGATTATTTTTACTACTACTACTACTACTACCACTAATAATAAAATAATAATAATAATAATAATAATAATAATCCCTTATACTTATATAGTGCTTTTCTGGACACTCCACTCAAAGCTCTTCACAGGTAATGGGGATCCCCTCCACCCCCACCAGTGTGACCCCACCTGGATGATGCGACAGCAGCCAGAGTGCACCAGTACTCTCCCCACACACCAGCTCTCAGTGGGGAGGAGAGCAGAGTGATGGAGCCAGTTCAGAGATGGGGATTATTAGGAGGCCATGACTGGTAAAGGCCAGGGGGGGAATGTGGGCAGGATCCCGGGGTAACATCCCTACTCTTTTCGAGAAACACCCCGGGGTTTTTAATGACCGCAGAGAGTCAGGACCTCGGTTATACGTCTCACCCGAAGGACAGCGCCTTTGTACAGCAAAGCGTCTCCGTCAGCCAATATGATATATTATATTATATATGATGTAGCCTGTATTGAATTTAAAACCCGGAAAATGCGTTCGAAGAGCACCGTTTGCCATACGCATGCACGTGGTCTCTACGCGTATGCGTCTGTGTTTTTCTTTTTACTGATGTTTGTTTTGTTTTTTATTTCCTAGCTGCTGCTGCTACTGCTGCTGCTGCTGCCTCGAGCCGGTGCCCTCGCGCTGCGGGAGAGCTCGCGCACCTGCCGCGCGCTGAGAGCTGCGCACCTGCGAGCCAGGCGCGGGCTGATAACCGGGCTGCAGGTTATCTCCGGATACACACAGTCGCTGCGCTGCTAGCACAGGGCACAGGGCACAGGGCAAGCGGCTCTCGCTCTTTCCTTCCGATTATGCAGATAGCCGCGTGTCGAAAAGCCAATCACAGCCGTGTCGATAATGGGCGCATCCCGGTCGTGGCAGTGGGAACTTGTATCTCCAATCGCACGAAGGGTCGTGGCGCAAATGAAAAGGCGTATTAATAATGCAACATAAATGTCATTTTTGTGTGAGCTGCATTCCCATTCGCCTGGTGACGCTCGCATAACAACTCACAAAAGCGTTTAGCGTCGCATAACAGCGAAGTGCAGTTCTTGTCAGTTTGTGAAAATGATTTTAAGGCGGAGTTTCTAGCTGTGAGTAGACCTGTATCAGTGCATCACAGACCAGTCAAGTCTTGCGGATTCACCAGATGAGCTGGTTCATTGATGTGATGCGTTTTAAGAACAAAGGTACCACCCACCGCTGGAAAAAAAGGGACTAATCGATAAAGTCGTTAGCGCGGCGATGTTCAGCGGCTTTGCAATGTTTCTGCGACGCAAAAATAAATCCGATATTCTTTAAAGCGACTCTTGGTCTCTCACACAGGGACCTAGGGTGCGTTTTCAGCACCGGGTGTCAGCCATGTTCTTGAAGCCGTCAGCCTGGTTGATTTAGAGAGACAAGCGTCGGGCCGGGTCCGCTCGGTACCAGCTGCAGTCCAAGCTGACCGGCCCCTGCGGGTTCCTAACCTCTCTTCCGGTTCCCATCCGGCGCGCGAGCCGACACCGCAGGTCCAGCTGCACAGTCATGGTCCACAGCGTGGACGAAGTTCTTCAAGGAGCGGTGGCTCTGTGGCTCAGGATCTGCGCCTGTGACTGGAAGGTTGCCGGTTCAAATCCCGTGGCCGGCAGAGGAATCCTACTCCGTTGGGCCCATGAGCAAGGCCCTTAACCCCAACTGCTCCAGGGGTGCTTACAACGGCAGACCCTGCGCTCTGACCCCAAGCTTCTCTCTCCCTGTCTGTGTGTCTGTGTCTCCATGGAGAAAAGCTGGGGTATGCGAAAAGACGAATTCCTAATCCAAGAAATTGTATAGGGCTAATAAAGAAACATTAACATTAAGGAAGCTGGGGGGACACACCCTGGTTCCACACACACACACCCCCTGGAGCCAGCAGTGTCTACAGACCTGAGCAAACCTCTCTCTGTGACCTGCGGGCCCAACAGGCGATTTGTTCCAAACGAGCTCAGCGATCATGTCGTCACGAGCCATACGAGCAATATTACTCTGCTGGTGTTTTCATTACTTTAGTCGAAGGCAGAACTGAGAAACCTCGGCGAAGCGCTCTCTGTTCCCGAGACTGGATTGTTTCAGAGGCGCTGTTTTTCAGCGCAATATGGAGTTTATAACCGAAGTTCGGGAGGGACGACAACAACCAGTCCGATCAGACTCAGCTGTCAGTGATGAGCAATCCATTCCTCTCCCAAACGCTATAAATACCTACGAGATCCCTCTCTCTCTCTCTTGCAGCCCACCCCTGGGTCACCCTGCATAGGGGTCCTGGCCTCCTTGCTCTGTGCCCGGGAGGTCAGCCCTCAGCCAAGCGGGTTAAGCCCCAGTTTGGCTCCATGACGCCTTCATCGTGGGCGTCGTCATTCGCAGTGAACCGGGGGCCGAGCAGGAGGAGACCGCTCTCCGGGGCCGCAGTGCAGGTGCTCGCTCCCCGCCTCAGAAGCCCGAGCGCTGCGTGGCTGAACGATGAAGGTCTAAAAATAGCCCTGCTGCTGTTCTGTCAGCGAGTGTCCACCGACTCGTCACACAGCTCGATCTATTTCGCACTGTATGAGTCCAGCGCAACGTGCCCGGCCGCCTCCGGGCAGCACAGACGGCGGGCCGGAGGATTAATGGCGCTGCAGTGGTGGCTGAGCGGCGGCAATAAAGGCCGCTGTTCTTTCTCCAGAAGTACACTTCGTCTCCGGTACTCGATGTTCACGGTTGGCAGAATTGTTGCCTGAAGGGAACTCCGGAGCGCCGTTTCATCCGAAAGAGAACCAACAGCGCCCTCTGCTGGTCTCGGTGAAGGAGCACACTCCTCGAATAAGTGCGCCGCGCCAGGATGAGTCCTGCTGCTGCTGCCCCTCAGCCTCTCGGGTCTTGGGTTCGAATCCAAATGGGGGCGGGGGGGCTCCTTCTGTGTGGAGTCTGCATGTCCCCCTATAGTGTTAGCGAGGGTCTCTGGTTTCCTCCCCCTTCCCGAACGCTCTGGGTGGGTCACCTGGAGTCGGGCCATCTCACGGTGTGAGGCCCCCTCATTGTCCGGGGTAAAAAATATTTTAATGGCATGTCATTTTTTTTATTTTCTTATTCATAGAATCTATTATCCAAATAAAAAAAAAACCCCATCATGATTACATAATTGTATGTGTGGGACACCCAGTAATTCGCAGAGAGGAGCGTGGGAGGATGAAGAAGGGCATTGTGGAACTCCTGGAGAAGGGTCGGTTCAGCACTGAAAGGGGGGTGTTTCTTCACAGCCGTGGGCTTTAGTCGAGAGTCCCAGCACGTGGTAGAGGTTCCAAAACACAGAAACACAGACAGAGACAAACTCGGACAAAGGGTTCAAGTGGAGGACCATGCACCCTGGGCTGAGGTGAGGCCACCAGTGAGTTGAGACCACCAGTGAGGTGAGGCCTGGGGCCAAATGGCCCTCCTACCCCCCCCCGCCTGGCGTCTCCGAACGGAACTGGTGTCCTGT